GGGGGGTGCAGGAAGTCCCGCTGACTCTGGGCTGCAGGCGGGTGCCTGCTTTGAAATGCGGGGGCTCTTGTGCATTTCAAAGCCATGGAGCCTGGGGTCAGCGGGGGACTCCCTTGCAGGCTCCAGGGCAGCTGCCCCTTTGCAACATGCAGAGGCAGCGTTTTAAAGGAGCAGTTACCTCACAGCTGATCCTCGGCTCAGCTGTGAGGTGGCTGCCCCTTTGAATCACAGCCTCCGCTTTTCAAAGGGGCAGTGGAGCCCGGGGTCAGCTTGGGACTCCACGGCTGCCCCTTTGAAGTACCCCTTCTCCCTCCCCTCTTTGCTGCCTCTATCTGATAGAGTCAGCGGGGAGAGGGGATATCGATTAGTCAACTCGTCTTTAGCATCCCTACTTGGAACTCAGCTTGCAGCCCCCACACGGGTTTGAAAGTATTTCCCAGAGCTCACTCCAGACTGAACTGGAGCCCTGCTGTCCCTCCTCCTGTCCCAGGCAACCCGGCTGGGAGGGGAGCCTTCTCCTTTGCAGCTCCTGGCTCCCCATGTGCCTCAGTGACAGTCCAGCTCCTTCTGCACTGCATCTGAACCCTTCCCATCAGCTTTCCAAGGGACGGGGCTGTGAGCAGGAGGCAGGCGCTGGCCAGGGAATGGATCCCACGAACAACATCCTGCTGTGGCCCAAGAGGAACTAGGAGGTGGCCAGGCAATTCCTGGGGCCAGCCACAGCACGAGCGCAGCACGTGTGACTAGGGTGAGCAGCGAGGGAGGCGAGGGACAAACATACCCGGCCGGGCAGCAGCTCTCCGTGATCAGATCGGATCAGTTACACCGCGGATGCCAAGAACCGAGCCAGTGTTTTCAGGGAGCGTTTCCTGCGAGTCGCCAGGGCTGGGCTCGCTCCGAGTCCCCCAGCTCAGCTCCCTGCCATGGCAGAGTCACCCCAGGGAACCTGTGCCACGTGCCATGGGCCACCCCAGGGAACCCCTCCAGGTCACACACCCCTGCA